TCGGGACAGGGACTCCTGCCAGGGCTGCCGTGAGCCGGGCCCTGTCGGCGGGCTCCTTCTTCCCCTCCCCTCTCCTCCCCGCCGCAGGCCCTCCCGGGGAGCCGCGATGCCTTTCTCCAGCTCCAGCGCGGACGATGCCTTCGACTACCTCTTCAAGATCATCCTGATCGGGGACTCCAACGTGGGGAAGACCTGCGTGGTGCACCGCTTCAAGACGGGGCAGTACAACGAGAAGCAGCAGAACACCATCGGCGTGGACTTCACTGTGCGCTCGATGGACATCGACGGCAAGAAAGTGAAGGTCGGTGGCCGGGGCGAGCCCGGTGGGCAGCACCTGCTCGCCATTACCGTGTCGCCATTGCGGTGCCGCCGTTCCCGTGCGGGTGTTAAGGAGGCGGTGGGGGAAAAAAGAAGGCAGCAGGCAAAAGCTGGCTGCCTTTCTTGCCGGGGGTGTTTCCGAGGGGAGCTTTCCCTCAAGGGGATGGCCCGGGGGAGGCAGTCACCCTAATTTGGGTACATACTCGCTCTTGTGGCTTCTCTGGATCTACCTGTGGAGAGGGCTCGCACTTTGCCTGCGGGGAGTTCTTAGGAAGCTGGCTCTGGTTTGGAGGTGGGTGTCTCATCCCTCCTTCAGAGGTGTGGGGTCTGAGCCGGGAAAACCCTCTAGTTTGCAAAGGCTCCGCTTTGATGAGTGCTTGATTTGAGGGAAGATGAAGACTTGGAAGACAAAACACCAGAAGCTGTTAGCTAGAACTTACGCCTGTGCGCAGATGAAAGTTCAGAGGCCTGCCCTTTGTATAGCTTTGCTCTGCCCAGCCCTGCATCGGGGCTTCTTAGCTCGCTCTTTCCTGTTAAAAGGCTGTAATGCTCTATTATCATTTAGTACAGTTGTTGAAACTGGGTTTCTTGACCTCTTTGCAAAGCTGGGTTTACCCATACAGCTTTCTCTTTGGTCTGTGTAGATTGTCTTTATAGGCAACATAGAGGCCTCTGCAGATCTAGAGAGGGCAAAGCCACGCTGTGGTGTAGCAGAGTGAGCTGGGACAGGTCTAGCTGCCTTCTAGACAAGCGTAGATGCTTTCGAAAGTGTGGATGCTGACGGCAAACACCTAGGAAGTGGCATTTGCTGGCCTTTACCACTTCTGTCCTTTCTCCTACAGATCCAAGTGTGGGACACAGCTGGTCAAGAACGCTTCCGGACAATAACCCAGTCTTACTACAGGAGCGCCCATGGGGCCATCCTTGCCTATGACCTCACTAGGAGATCCACGTTTGAATCCATTCCTCACTGGATTCACGAAATTGAAAAGTATGGCGCTGCAAACTTGGTCATGATGTTAATTGGTAGGAATCTGGTTTTAAATATTATGTTATGTAGCTTTTTTAAATACGTATATAAAATCCCCTTCACTTTTCCCCCCACTGCTTGAAGGATCTATAAACTATGCATTAAAGAACAATGCAGTTTTAATTGAAAGAGATCAGAAAGTGTATCAATTTGGCCTAAGCTTAAAAAAAATGAGGAAAGCCACAGCCTGGTCCTGACAGGACCAAGCCCATGGCAGACAGTGAAACATTTTTACTTGTTCCTTTCCTGCTAGAATAATGCAACAAGCTTGCTGCTAGTCTAGAATTGCAGTAAGTGTGACCCCATGCTCCTGATGTGCAGGAATTTAGCGGCTCAATAATTCAAGACCAAGGGGAATGCACAGAGCAACACAACTCCCCGTTCTCATCTTCCCTCTCTGTCCTTTTGAGATGTGTGCGCGTTGCTCTGTAATGGGACTCCAAGTAGATGAGGACGTGGCTTTTGCAGAGCATGAAGTGGTCTGCTTGCATTCTTCCTCCTCCTGGTTTATTCCACTAGCATTCAGGAAATGCCTGAACGAGGGAAGGAATGGGTAGAAATTGCCGGGAGTGGAGCTGATAGGAAGCAGCGTGGTTCTTTCCCTTTGTGTTTCAGGTTATTGTTGCTCTTCCACCCCCCCCCACCCCCCAAGGAAGAAGCTGCAAATGAAAGAATTGGTGTAGTCAAGTGACAGAGCCTTTATTTACATTCCACCCTGCTGCCTGCTCCGCTGCGACACTGTGCCGAGAGCAACGCGCGCAGCCGCCCAGGCTGGCTCTGGAGGACAGGCAGCGCCGAGCCCCACAGCGCAGCAGGCGTGGGCCCCGAGCTGCTGCTGCGGCTGGTTTTGCCGGGGGGGGTGTTTCC